CATCTGTGTTTCATTTTGCCATTAATTTTGCTCATTTAGCATCGTTTAGGTCCCCTAAAGCCAAGCTACCTTGGTGCACTGACCTCATGTAGCACTCAGCTTGCAGCTCTGGCAAATTTGTCAGAAAACTCGGGTTTGTTTAAAAAAAAAACTCTAACGAATTGTGTGTAAACTATTGGCCACAAGTATTCGATTATGACTCAGTTATACTATATATATAGATAGGATATGATTGACAAGCACATACAAAATCATTCTGATAAAGTGACTTACAAGCATTCTACCTGACTTTGACGTAAACCGTGACATCAGTCTGAAGATATTCTAGCTCTGTCTTGAGAAGCAGTATAAAATTAATTGAAATTTGTGACAGGAGTCTGAAAAGGCATAAGCCGAAAGGTCACTCGATCATTTCATATCCTTTTACTTTTATTCATTATGAGAGTAGGATGTTTAATTTTTTGTCGTAAGTCAATTTTATGAACGTAAACTTGATAGACTGACTGGAAAGTCCTCGTTACGAGCACTTAAATGTATTTTTATGTATGTATTTATGTATGTATTTAGTATGTATTTTTCCGTACGTGTCGCTGCTACGTTATTGATTGAGGTTCAGCAGTAGGAGAATCAATGACCTCACTGACTTTCACCTTGCTGTTGCTGGATAGGTGTCTGAATTAGTTCGTAATTCTTACACCAAAATGAAGTACATGAGGAGTCGCCAATACCCGCGTCTTTTTGACCAATCCTTTTATAAAATTTTCTTATAAGGGTACTTTAAACTACAAAGTGCTTAAATGCAGGGGATTGTTACCTGTTATACGTACAGTTATTGAGCGCAACATTTTGACTTTTCTAGAAAAAAATTGTTTTGCTATTCGCTGTTCCATACGCTTATTTCCTATTACAACGTATGCTTTCTTCCGAAGAGAGAAGAGAAGACGAAGTCAGTTACCTTTGTCAGATTCCTATTGCTTCCGGATGATGTATGTACACTCTCGATGACAATCCCTCCGATTCCATTTCTACTTTTTTTGACTCAACCGGATTTGAGCCTGGAGCAGGAAAACTGATATTGGACCCGGCTCTGGCGTTTTTACGACCTGTTATAGTTGCTTAGAGGACGCAGAGCGGTCATAGACACCTATGTACAGACTTACCCCTCACTCTTTTTGCCAGGAACACTGGTGGTACCATGAACGTCAATAGGCAAACGAGGACATGGCTTACTAGTACAACTTTATGATTCACTTTCCCGCTTTTCTAATCCGACTTCTTGAGTTCTTGGAAATGCCGAAAAACAATGACGGGGTCGAACAACAGGAAATAAGTAGAACAGGGAAACATTTAAACAAATCAGTTGCATATTTATAGTAAATATGCCAATCCGTGTGGCGCGTGTGCAATGAATTGGCGGCTAAGAAGAAGAAGAAAAAAAAACAACAACGCGGACGCACTACAGAAATTCTGCTCACTTATGGTGACTATCGCAGTGCCAGTTAGGCAGGTAGGTGCATACATCATTCATTACGCAAGTGTGAGCGTGGAGCGCTAAGTGGTTCTCCCCCTCCCCCTCTGAATAGTGAGTCACGCCCAGGACACCCCGGAAAATGTAGGACCCAGGAGACCGGTTTTATCGGTTGTGGGTTAATCTGACCGCTGCGTGCCACTCGCCCGATGCCGGCCCCCGCTTTCGGTACTTTCTCCTTAGCCATCTGAGCTGTCAAGAAACCCATCTAACGATTCACCCTCTTTACAACTGCGTCTTAGCTGCAGCGGTTAGAGTGTTTTGCAATTTGCATATTTTGTTCGTCCCACCTCGGACAAGTGTAATGCTATTGCTGAAAGTTATTGCCGTCAAATGTGTCGGTCATCGTGTGCATTATCGGTCGTACGTATACAGAGGAGGCAACTCCCGTGCACCCACAGCGACCCCAGCTGCAGACGGGCATTGTCAAACGCTTTCTCAGCATTGGAGATGGCGGGGCGGTGGCATGCAATTAGAGACTTGGGGGGTCAGAGGAGAAGTGATTAACATATTCAATTAAATTGGCAGTTGTTCGGTTGTGCGCCGCGGCCCTTTGTGGGTGAATGGAGAATTGGAGAGCCCAGATACCTGCCTTGAGAATACGTGCGATGGATGATTGCCGTCTTCTCAGCAGTGTTTTCACTCGATTCCTCGCATTGAGCACTATAGTTTCGTCGTAGCTGCTCAGCACCCTGCCCACGAGATCCGCACTACCTGAGCACGCCTGAACGCAGACGTTTTCACCTTTCATCGGCAGCCCCAGCCACTACTATGCGTTTCATGTTCATGTTCTGCCCACGGCAGCCATGGAATCAGCCGTTGGTGCTCTTAGTGCGGTAGCCGGATGTCCGTGAAGTTAGCGTCAGCAACAGCAACGAATACAGCGTCGGATTCAGAATCGCTTCAAAAAGTGCTATCAGGTCAATTGGGGGACGGGGAACACGAATATGACATTTATTTTGCCCTAGCTCCCTTCCTTCATCCCTTAATCGTCCCTTAAAGGACGGGGCGCGTCAAAAGTGCCCCAAGGCTTCGTCTGATCGCCAAAATAATGGTCGCAATCGATTCCTCGGGTCAATATCTAACCTCAGTCGAAGGTTCCAGACCTGTGGCTCCTATCCCTCATCCCTTAATCGTCCCTTAAAGGACGGGGCGCGTCAAAAATGCCCCAAGGCTTCGTCTGATCGCCAAAATAATGGTCGCAATCGATTCCTCGGGTCAATATCTAACCTCAGTCGAAGGTTCCAGACCTGTGGCTCCTATCCCTCATCCCTTAACCGTCCCTTAACCCGGCAGTTGCTGGGGTATTTCGCCACCCACCGTTTGCTGGGGGGGGGGGGGGGGCGTTAAACGCCCCCAGCCGATAACTCGAGAACCAGTAGGCGCAGCGAAACGCACGAGGCGGCAAACGAAAGAACGCGACGAGACGCTTCAGATGAGTACTTTAAAGTTGAATTTTGAGGTCACAGGTCGGGTCAAGGTCAGGTCAAACACCTGAAATCGGGCTTTCAGTAGCATGGACTTCAGGACTTCGCAATGAGCGCCTCTCGTCAGAAAGTCTGTCAAAACGGTGCACAATCCATCATATAAGGCCTACAAGAGTGTCAGTTTCATGTAGGGGTCAGTCAAGCATAGGTCAGGGTCAAGGTCAGGTCAACCGGGTAGGCACATATCCCCGAAAATCAAAACTGTTATTCGCAGCCTATGACACATGTTTCATGGGTGTCGATTTGTATACCTTTGGGGGTGCTGCAGCACCCCCAAAGCTCAAATGAGCACCCCCAATGGTTTTCCGGGCACCCCCAATGGTTTTGTCCCTCAATAACTCCCACTAACTCTGCTTGAGGAAAATAATTGTTCTGCAGTAGTTCACTACTAAAAATAAAACAATTACGCAATTTACAAGGCATGAAATAAAGATGTAAAGAAAAGAAAGTTAGATTTAAGAAGAAGGGCGAAAAAAGACGTTAAGTTGCAAAGATGGTGTGGGTCCGTCGTACACGGGTGTTGGACCCTTAGAGCTGCTGGCGCGTACCCTTTACAAGCCGGCAGGGGGCTCCAGAGACCGGTGACGGGCCCTCAGAGGCCGGCAAAGGGTCATCAGAGGCCGGTGGTACCTTCAGAAACCCTGTGGGCGTCATCTTTAGAGACCGGAACGGGCTCAGGCGCTGATGGGGCCCTCAGAGTCGCCGGTGTGGGGCCTTCAAATGTCACCGGTGGCAGGGTGGCCGTCACATGCGCACTTGTGGGGCCTTCAGAAGCTACGATGTTGGGCCCTCAGAGCCGCCGATATAGGGCCTTAAGAGGCACTAGTGTGGGGCCCTCAGATATGGCAATGTGGGGCCCTCGGACTGGAGGCGCCGGTGTGGGGGCTCTCAGAGACACTGGTTTAGGGCCATCACAGGCGCGCGTTGGGCCCTCAGAACTGCTGTTACGGAACGGATCCTTCATAGGCCGACAAGAAGATATCAAGAGGTCACCGGTGCCTTCAGGAGCCTTGTGGGGTTCTCAGAGACTGGCATGGTGCGCTCAGACGCCGCTGGGACCCTCCGTGTCACCTGTGTGGGGCCGTCAGGGTCGCTGGTAACTGTTAAGGGCCCTCAGAACCGCCCATGTAGGGTTTTTAAAGGCATTGGTATAGGACCTCAGAGTTAGGGGTGTGGGACCCTCAGAGACGCCGGTGTGGCGCTCAGGGGTGCCGGTGAGGGCCCTCACAGTCGCCGTTATAGGGGCCCTCAGAGAAATGGGTGTGGGGCCATTACAGGCGGGTGTGCAGCTCCTAGAGCTGGCCCCCTAGAGGCCGGTTAAGACCCCCAGAGGCCGGCAAGTGGCCCTCAGAGGCTGGCTTGGGGCGCTTATGGAGATCTTAATGTTAGTACTTGTGGGCCCATGAGGTGTTCTAACGAGCTCTGTGGGGCCCTTCTGAGTCCAAATATAGCCAACGTGGACCCTCAGTGGCCAATTGGCGCCGCAGTGCCCCTCAGGCCCAAATAATCCGATGGGCCCCTGAACCTGATGGGGCGGGGGGGGGCTCACGGGCCCACCTGGCTACGCCACTGAGGAAAATCGTAAAACCATAAATATCGAAATGCAATCACCTGTTATTTTTTCAGCGATTATTGTGATCGTCTGATAAACGCCAGAGCCTCGTAGCTATACCGTTGCCTCCCGCGCAATGTCCGCCCCTGCGGACCGCAGGGGCTGCTGCACCGGTGCTAATCGCGGTCATCGGTTTCTGTCACCTTATTACAGAGGTGCCGGGGCTGCTGCCGAGCTGCCGGCAAATGTACGCGTTTTTTTCGGAAAGATGTTTATGTAATGAGGTAGCCATTAGTGCAAATCCCGGGATTATCAGTACCTTATGGGGATACACAACCATGCCTTGTAGATACGGTTGTGACCCATGGCAAAGCTACAATCTTTCACCCGGTGCAGGGGTTGAGCACCCCCAACCATTTTGAAAAATCGACAC